CCCCGCCGCTGCCAGGCGGGCCTTGGCCGCGATGAGCGCCGCCGCCCCGGCTCCGGAGCCCGACCCGCAGGAGGGGGGGGCCGGGCACGGCCCCGGCCCCGGCCCGGCCCGGGAGGAGGCCAGCCCGCAGGAGGAGTTTGACTTCTCCATCCTCTTCGACTACGACTACCTGAAGCCGATAGAAGGTTGGTGAGGAGCCGCCGCCGCTTCAGGAGGAGCCGGTGCCGCGACCCGACGGGGCGGCCGGGCCGCCTCAGCCGGACCCAGCGGCTGCCGGGGCCGGGCGCTTCCTGCGCCCTCCGGCAGCCCCTCGGAGAGCAGTGGAGACCCGGGCAGCTCCCGGGCCCTTTCCCTGCCCGGGGCTGGCCCCGCCGGGCCCCTCGGTGGGTCCGCAGCCCGGCATGTGCCCCGCTCTGGCTGCCCCCACCGGCGCGGCGATGGATGCGGGGCGCTGCGCTGCTCGACGGGCTCGGGCTTTTCGGGTTTTGCGGTGCTGCTTTAGCCTCCAGGCGCTTGCGGACTGTCACTGGCGACAGGTGGCTCGGTCCCCGCCTTGGTGATGGAGTATCTGAAAGCGTTGTGGGACCTGCCTGTGATTTACAAGGTCGTGCACTCGGGTGTGAGAGAGAGCTCGGCTGTGGAAGGTGAAGCAGAAGAGCTCAGCTCTCTTGGTCTCCTTGTGACCCTCGTCATCATGGTAGAGGGTGTTCTGGAAACTCAAAAAAAGGCAGCTTGAGCACTGGGTCCAGGAGCCCCAAGGAGTTAGTTACCTGCCATGAGCCTGACCATCCAGCTTGGATGGCAAGCAGCTGGGGAGATCTAGTTTCCAGTTTGGGTCCAAACATCATAAGCTTAAGTTAAAATTAAAAAAAAAAAGAAAAAAAAGAGAGATTTGCAGACTGTTCTCCTACTTTCCCGAGTTTATGCAAGTCTGTGATACTACGAGCACTGTGACAAGTGTTCCCTGACTTTCTGAATGATAATTCTGTTGATGATGCTAAAAAGCGATACTTCCTATCCCGTAAAATACAGATTTGTGTAAACCAGGCAAAGCCAAGGGAGACAGGGCCCAGAGGAAAGAATTGCTGGGATATTGTTTCTAAGATACACTCACTTTGATTCTGCACAGCTGAGAGGTGGCATTCTCTAGGGCATTTAAAAAAGAGATGTTGTGTTCCTAGGGGATGGTGCAGGTGGAGACCTAATAGGCCCAAATCATGATGTCATTAGCGAAATGGAGAGTTGGTACTGAGTTTTATTCTGTGTATACTTGTTTAAATATACAGATGTGCACCAGCATCAAAGCTGGGCGAGGATGGTTAAAGTCATCAGATATACAAAGGTGACTTTTCTTTCAAGGTTTAATGTAGATTAAACCGTGCTAAAATAAATCCACGATGGGGAGAGGTCAGTGATTTTAATGAAAATACATTAAATCTTAGTAAAAACTTCAGGTGCTGCCTTTTTTCACGTCTTTATAGTAGAGAGTACTGCTGTGAAGCCTTAAGTGGGAAGTTCCACAGAATATAATGGTACGTAGGTGGGGGGTAGAAAGTTTAATCTTCAAACCACATAAATGCAGAGCAGTGTATGCTTGTAGTAGAAGTAACATCCTTCTTGAGCCTGCTTTCTCCACGTTTGAATGACTGGAAACTATAATTAGTAGTAATTTTGTTTGTTCCAAAGATGGAAATCATTAGCATAAAAAAAAAAAAAAATCACAACCAAATATACTAGCATTGTAATCTGGAGAACATTCTCTCTCGCTTTGAAAAGGCACCAGCTAGAGTCTGTAAGCAATCCAGTATACATCCGTGACCTTTAATGTACAAAAGATTAAAGCATGTTTACACGAGGACAGAAAATGTTCAAATTTTGAGAAAGGGCTTTATCCACATGCTGGTGGTAAATGATGCTCCTTGTTCATGTGCGATTCTGGCCTCGTCTGAACTGCAGTGGGGAAAACAAGTCCTTTTCAGTGGAGGATTCAAAATGGAACCAAAACCATAGGAGTGTCTGTGGATCCCAGGACTTCAGGCTGGTTTCTCCATTCAAAGCCTGTTTGAAAGAGGCTCTGGTTTCCTCAGAGTCTGGCGTGCTCCACCCCTTGCAATGACAAGTCCTATAATAACAAATCTCCGTAAATATGCTAAAAGTGATTTTAATATTTTTTTTAGTTATTTTTTTAGGGAAAAAAAATGTACATTTGGGGCTCTAGGAATGGATTAGGATGAAAGTTTATTTCTGATAAGCAATCTTTTAAGCGGTTGGGATTTGACAGTATGCACCTAAGCTTGTGTTTTAAAAGTAGGATCTATATCACAACTTGTTGCCATGGAAATGCCAGAAATATCCTTACTGAAAGCAGTTGGCATTCAGGAGTGCTTATGTGTGCCTGAGACAACAGGAACATGGGCTGCTATAAAAGCAACAGGGGAGAAAAGGGTAAATAAAAATCCTACAGTCAATATTATTAATATTAGATATTCCTCTCTAAGCCAACCATTTCCGAAAGCAGGAGTGCTGCACGAAGTGCCATTTTCCATGTGCCTTGTACTTTTACCCTTACTTGCCAATCTTTAATTAGCTCTCTTCTCCTCAGCATTTGCACACCAGAAACATCTGCCCTCAGCAGACTGAACCCGGAGTTGTGCCCGGTTGAAGAGAGTTTGGGAAGTTTGGGCAAAGTGGGTGTACTGTGCTGTTAGGTTGAAACTGTGATTTCACTTGGGCATCAAAGATGTTTTCTGTCTCCATTTAAAAAAAAAAGTGTTAGATGCATTCCCTCAAGAGATACATGTGGAGGTAGTGCTGGCAGTATCCCAAGTTTTAGCTTATTTCAAACTTGAAAGGTGCTGAATATCCTTGTTTCTCAGTGGAGAAGATTGACAGAAAGTCAATGAGCATTTGAACTAGTGCCTGCAAATGGGGCTCCCAGATGAGTAAGTTCTGATTTGTGTAATACTCCGTAGTACCAGTTGTTGGCCACTATGAGAGATGAAATACTGGAAAGCCAGAAACTGCCCTGCTTCAGCAGCTCACTTAATGTATTTTTTTGTGTGTTCCCTGTGTGATGATCCACTGATTGGTAAAGCTGCCACATAATTTTTAATATTTGAGGTTAACCCTCTTGAGAACTGATCCTCTGAGGGGTGTTTTAAAAGTTGAAATCCAAAAAAAACCCCTTTAAATAAGATTCCAGGCAAAATCCTGCCCTAAGACAACAGGTGAGAATGCAAATGGGAAAGAGTATTTTCTTGTAGGCTCAAGCCTTTGCTGTAGCTCTTACATTGGTGGGGTGAATCTATAAGGTCTATGTATGTATAATATAGAGAGGGGAAGCAGGGAGCACCTAGAAATATTAATATTCCTCTAAATGCTTGTTTGTATGTAGACAGGCTCCCAGGGACACTGCCACGTCTTGTGGCTCTGTATAATTTGCCTTGTTCCTTCTTTCTCTCCCCAGTACAAAGCTATTAAAAGGAAAAAAAAAAACCAAAATGCTTTCAGCTCAGCCCTGGTGACTGGCTCGGTAACACAGGAGGCAGTGTTCAGCGGCAGTAAAGAGACAAATATGCACATGTAACAGAGAATACCAGATTTCACTCAGGAAACCAACTTTCACTTTGAGCTTCCAAGCAGCCAGTGTAAATAACTGACAGCTCGGCTCTCGAAAAATGCAAAAAAAGCTCTGGACTGGCCCCTTTAAATTGCAATAAGCCAAATCATTTTAAAAAAGCAAATTAAATTTGGACTCTTTTACTTATGGAAATAAGTAACTCCACTTAAATCCCAGGAGCTGCGCTGCAGCAAACGGATGTGAGGTCAAAATCCAGCTTCTCCCCCTGCCCTCTCTCGGCGCCCTGGTCCCGCACGCGGCTATCTTTAGCTTTTCCTAGATGATGGTTTGTATAAACCCAACGTGGAATGCAGTTGCTGGGGTGATCTGTTATTCCCTAATTTCATGCTAATTGGTAAGGTCACATTTGGCTGACTGAGTGGCTTTGAAGTTGCTGCCTTGTTTAAAAAACAGCCGAGGGTGGGCCCTCGCAAAGCCGTGTGTGTGTGCACACTGGTGTGTGTGTCTGTGCACACTGGTGTGTGTCCCATCCAGTTTAGGAAATCTGGAAACCCGGGGAGGGTTTTCCTTTCTGCCTTTCAGAGAGGTGTGAAAAGGAGTTTTTTAAATCAAGGGTTAAGTCCTTTGAAGCTTAGTTAGCTTGATCTTTTTCACCTGTGTTTTAACTCTTCTAGCTAATCAGTGCTAATTGCAGTCCTGAAGGGACCCACCTGGGAGGCTGCCCACCCACCAGATGGTTGCTGGAGCTGCCTGCAGCGTGTGTGAGTCTGTCTATAGGAGCTGGTTTGCTGTTTGTTTACAATATGGTAGCACACAGAGCCCTGCTTCCATCTTCTGTTGTGGGGAGAGATGGTCTTGTGAACTGGAAATCAGGTAAAGGCTACAGGGGAAAAAAGGGGGGAGTAAGAGCTGACAGCTTGGAGGCACTTTGGGTGGGGGCTTGGAGGTAGGACTTCCCTAGTCATGAGACTTGGGTGACGGAGGGGAGTGGTGAAATCAGTTTGCTGACAGTAAAGCTGCCTGAGAACGTGAGGAGGTGCCTGTCTTGTCTGGGTGTGAAGCTCACTTTCTTTTAACCCCCTTCCAAACAAGAAGGATCTTTTGGTACTGAATCAGAGGCTGATTCAGCAGTGAAACCTCGGGCTGGGAAATGCCCAAGGGCAGGGAGAGGGGGCAAGCATGGTACCTGCCCGTGCCTGGGGTGTCAGAGGAGCTCTGCTGAACCTGCTGCTCTCTGAGAAGATGTCCATCAGAAAAACAGTGGAGAGCCCCGTCCTTTGGAGGAGGATTTCAGTCTGTGTTCTGGGATGCAGCATGTAGGGACAGATGAACCCTTGAAAGAGGCACAACTGAGGGTGCAAAGCTGTACCTCTGGGGCTTTCACACAAAGGCTTCAAAGCTGCTTCAGTTCTTGACAAACACCTTTGCTAGGTTGATTGGTCACATAATTATTCTCTTGCGAGGGGGTGCAATGGTCTCTCACCTTCCTGGGGAGCCCAGGGAGGAGCTGGTGGGTGTCAGGGCTGCTCCCTGCCATCTCCAGGGTGGCAGAGGGCCAGTGGTGTGAGGTTTGATGTCTTCAGCTCCAGCCACCATAATCAAGCTCACCGTGGCAGCTCGGGGAGAAGCATGACTATTGCTGGAGCCACCTGCCTGGAGCCATTCCTGTGCCCTGGGCTGCTCCATGTTCCTGCTGGTGCCTGCAAATGCAGAGAGAAAGCAGCTGGGCTCCCTGTTTCCCCCCCTCTCAAAGGCAGGAGCTTGGCATGATTTACAGACCAAACTCCTGTGGTGTTAGCCCCAGGGAGGCTGGGATGTTGGCTCGGGTCTGCCCCTTCCTCCGGCAGATTCCAAACCCCAGCTGCCTTAGCCAAGTTGGCTGGACTTTTTGCTTCAGTCCCCTCCTACTGAAACAAAAAGCAGAATTTCTCCTGATTTCGGTGGAAGAGCCGTTTATTTCCAGAGAGCAGCACTTGCAGCTTCACCCAACGGCCCTGTTTCCCTCCCGGGGTGAGGTCAGAGCCCTGCGTCGTAGCATCACCGGCATCTCCATGGCGACAGACCCTGACATCACCCGCGTGGGCAATAGCACCCGGGACAGTGATTTCATTGTACCTCCGAAGTCAGGCAGGGCTGGGACATGGTGGGGAGATCTCCCTAAACCCCAGCTCCTGATGTGCTGTGCCGATGAGTCAGGGCTGGCAACCTCAGCCTCTGGGCATCTCTGCCCGGCGCGGTTCCCCGGGTGCTCCTCAAACCAGCCGAGGTTTTCTTGTCTGCAGTCACTGCCCTCATTCCCGTGCTGCTGCCTGCCTTATTGATCATTTGCCGTGGGGGGGGAGAAACTAAATATTTTCTCTCTTCGGAAGGCTGTGGGTGTTGTCTGCTTGGCAAAGGGTGCCTGGCTGCCTGCGAGCGCCGGGTGAGCAATCCCGGTCCCCACGGCCCGTAAAGCACAGCAGAGGAGCTGCTCTGCCAGAGCCCTGCGTGAAGGCAAGGGCATGTGGCAGCTTGTTGTTGTGCGTAAACACTGTTATTAATATCTGTAACCTGGATCCTCCTGGAGGGTGAACGCTGAGGATGAATGTGCTCATTTAAACACAGGGGTTTAGGGAGGCGGGGTGGGGGGGGGAAGAAAACTTAGGTTACCTCCAATTTATACTGGGCAGAAAGTGTGCGTGGGATGTGTCTGTTACTCACAAGACTTACATTGTTATTAGTGGCTGTAACATGGATCCTCCTGGAGGGTGAATACCGAGGATGGACCTGCTCATTTAAACACAGTGTTTCAGGTGGAAAAAAATCAAAAACTTAGGTTATCCCCAATTTTTAATGGGCTGAAAGCGTGCGTGGGGTGTGTTTGTTATTCACAAGACTTTAAAAATCACACATATATATGTAAATAGGTCTTTGCTTTCCCCATACCCCTCAACACTAATGTACAAATGCCAGCGTTGCTGCTTGGTGTGTTGTGAGGAGCTGTGATTTTTTACCTGTCGTCTGCGTATCAGGCACAGATGATGCAGTTTAACAAGTATGATGGGGGCAGCTCTCGCTGCAGGTGTGTTGGGTGGGGAGCTGAAACGGTTGCCTGGAGAGATATTTTTGTGATTCCTGGTCACTGTATGAGGCCTGTCACAAGTCCTGGCTCTGCTTGGTGCTGATTTTGCTCCCTTGCATCAGCTTAAATCAGAGTGATTCTTCCGAAAAGCCGTGGGAGGGATGTTGTGTGTGACTGCGGAGGGGTGTGTTGCTCTGTTGGGGCCAAAGGAGTGATGAGTTTTATTCAAAGTGAATCGTAGCATCAGTATTTAGGCTCGATGCGTCAGAGTTTGAGTGATGTGAATGACACACTATTCCTGTGAATGCCAAAGCTCTGATATCCGAGATCAACGATGCTAAAAATATGTTCTGCTCAAAATTCAGTTGCTCGTTGCTGTTTTCCCTATCCCCAAAACAGCTGTGTGCTGGGATTAAAAGCCAGAGGGAACCTTAAGAAATCTGCAAGCTGGACTCCCCCAGTCGTCTCCCATCCTGTCACATAGACATTCTGTGTGTTAGTTTGTTTGGTCGGCTGTCGGGTTTTCCCACTAAACATGAAGGCTCAGCAGTTTCTGCTATTTTTTTTTTTTTTTTTTTTTTTTTTGGTGGAGTTTTCTCCAGGTTGTGCAAAACACTAAGCACAAAGAGTAATAGTCAAAAATCAGAGGATTTTGCTTTAAGGAAATAATAGTTTTGTTAAGGATTTGCTTGAACTAAGAAGCGTTTAAAATTGAAAATGAACAGAACCCCCCCTGAAATTAAATCACAGTCTATCTGCATGTAAAAGTTTTACTACTATCTTTTGCTATTTTTGCAGAAAGCACAGTCAGCTCCTACCTGGCTTTATGTATGCTATTATTTGCTCATGGGAAATGCTGCCTCATACAGTGTAGGAGTTAGAGAAAATGCCAGAACAGTTACTTAAATATTTAAATGAAACCCTCTTTGCCTATGCCACATACTTATCTGTGCCCAGGGGTGAGCAGATAGTACAAGTTAATCTCAAACTGTGGAGCTGTTTCAGATACTTCCTGTTGGATACATTGACATTTAAAAAAGTCCTGATAGTATTTTGCATGCTTTTGTGTAAAGACAAATATTATTCAGCTCCTGGGCTGGGGAAGTTACAGGAACTAATACATATTGAGGGGTCTGTCCTGGGGATACCTGGCCTCATTCCGCTCTCTGGGATGCCACGGGCATGAAGCACCTGATGGGCTGCTGGGACAAGATCAGGACTGGGCTCAGCGATGCTGGTGGGAGTTCTGTATTGCCTAGAAGCATCCCTGTGCTCTGCAACCTGGGGATAGTTTGCAAGATTGAGAATCTCTGAAAACTCGGGACTTTTTTGCACCAGGAGAGAGGGTTGCACTGAACACTCACATGTTATTGTATATTTTATAATCCCTCTCTGGCCAAAACATTCCTTGAGCTGAAATTGGAAAGCGATTGCCAGTAAGCATGGGGCTGAATTCCTTCTATCTTTCTGTTTTCTAACAAATATTTGTGAATGGCTTTTTTGATCATCTGGTGCTTTATCACATGAAACCTGCCACCAAAACTTGTTGACATGATATGGCGCCAAACAAATCAGCACACAGAACTGACATTTTAATTTAAGAGCTTGAGCTCAGCTTTGGTTTCATGAAGCCCTTTCTGGCTGGACTTTGCTGTGCAAGAAGGGTTTTTCTCCCTCTTCCTCAACCTGAGGCTCTTCCTCAACCTTTTGGTCTTACAGAGACCTGTGTGGAAGTGGTTTTGTGATGTGATGGTCTCAGTCCAGCTCCTAGGTGACAAAAGTCGACCAAAGACACAACACCCCAATTGGCAGTAAGGGGTGTTTTTGGCAGAAAGAGTAGGAAGGCAGCACTAAGATGGGCAGAGAGGCTGACGTGGTGCTGACCCTCCCAGGTGATCCATCTAGGACAGGGCTCAGGTGAGGGAGCCTGGCCCGGTGGTGTGGAGGTGTTCACAGTGCTTTTGTCCATGCTGCATCTGCTCTGAGCACTTGAGCTTCCCTGGCTGTTAATCCAGTACTTTTCACAGGCATTAATTGCAGTTAAAAAGAATTAAACAAATATTTACCTAATATCATATCAAAACCAGTTGATAAATATGCATATTTTTTTTTAATCCATGATTGCTCAGCTTCTGTAATAATATTTATAGTCTTAAAGAGACCCTTCTTTTTCCAGAAGAACCGACTCCACATAAAACCAACAGCCCACCCTCTGGAGTTACATACCCTCATGATGTCTTGGACTGTGGCCTCAAGCCATGCCCCCTGCCTTATTCTAGCCTTTCTGCAGATCCCATGGGCAGATATGGACAGCCAGATAGCATAGGGACAACACCTACACACCCTGCCAACGCTGCAGGGGCCTCTGCTCCGAGCCCTAGGATTGAAATTACTCCATATCATGAACTGATTCATTCAGGGGGTCCCTTCCGCAGCAGAGACACAGATGTTCTTTTGGTAGAACATCAGTCAAACTCAGCTACCACTAGCCCAAGGGTTACCCTGCCTGTCCCTGGCTTTGAGGGCTACAGAGAACCACTGTGTCTGAGCCCAGCTAGTAGCGGCTCCTCTGCAAGTTTCATTTCAGAGACAAATGTATCTCCTTGCACATCACCATGTGTTTCACCAAATAATGGTCCTAGTGATGACCTTTGTCCACAGTTTCAAAACATCCATACTCATTATTCTCCTAGAACCTCTCCAATAATGTCACCACGAACAAGCATCACGGAGGAAACCTGCTTGGGACGACATTCACCATCACCCTGTCCCAACTCAAGGTCTTCATCACCAGGTGCAAAACGGAGGTACTCTTGCACTGAGCTCTACAGTACTCAGCTGCCTTCCACTTCTCCACGACAGTCAAGGACCCCCTCTCCACAATCCTCTCCTCGCATCCCCTTGAGAGAAGACAACTCTTCAGTTACTTACACACAGTTGCCCAGCGCTTCTCTTTCCATGGATGCTATGAGCAGCCTTCCTACGGATCCTTCCTGCGGTGTTCCCACGAAAATTTGGAAAACCAGCCCGGATCCTTCATCAATGCCTTCCCACAAAAACATTCCATGTCACGTCTTTCAGACTGTTGACTTCCATGGGCCTTGCGAGCAGGAGGACAGGAGAAACTCAGCCCCGGAATCAATTTTGTTGGTACCTCCATCCTGGACAAAGCAACTGGTGCCTGCAATCCCTATCTGCAGGTATGTAATGCTTCTCATGGCAGTGTGTCTCCTCATGGCGTGATGCCCTCTGTCACACATAGTGTTCCACAGGGGATGTTTGCTTGGGCAGATCCTGCTGCAGACCAGAGCTAAGTGCTCAGGGCCAGCACTGGTTAACGGGAGCCCAATCCATTGTGATTCTGAGAGATGAAAAAGTCTGTGCTTGGAACAAACGCCATAAAAGTGGTTCATTGATAGCACAGCATATGACAAATTCAAGTTTCCAAATTATTTGTCTAGAAAGGAGATTGCAAATAGCCTTTGATAAAGGCTAAACACTCTTGTTCCATCCGGCAGCTTTTAAAGCAAGTGGTTTGCTTGCAATTCTAAATTCAGGGAACATCTTGCTTACAAATTTCCATCAAGGATGAAAATACTTCAAATATTTCCTGATTCAAAATAGAGTATGCTGCTCCAAGCCAGACTGAGAATTTGGTCAACCCCAAGTGACTTAACTGCTGGTTGCTAATTTGTTAATTGTCGTTTAACCCAAATCTCATTGACTCCCCCCATTGTCTGGCGTGGGTGGCACACAGGTCTGGACCCTGAGCACTGCACGTCTGCCAGGATGGAGGTTGCCAAGTGTGTGACTCCACTTGCCATCACCGCTGGCACCCTGTCAGCCCTGCCACCCTGCTCGGCAGCAAGGCTGTCCCCACGATGACATTACCCTGTGCTGCTCCCGACCCGCTCAACACAAATTGAGAGTGAAAGGACACGGGCTGTGACTTCCCTTGGCTTGTCAGATGGGTCCCAGCAGCAGCTTGTACTAACAAAATAGGAGTTGTTTAAAATCCAGTGCAAGCTCTAGTTGTACATTTCAATGTATTAATTGCGTGTTATAAACCCTTGCGTGTTTTGATAACAGGAAACCTGGTATCAGGTAAGAATATTTAGCATTTTATTCCTGTGCATTTTAATATTTATGGAAATCATAAATATTACTAATTTATGCAACTGGTAAGTGATGGTAAATGGAGTTAATATTTCTCAGTATATGTTTTGTGATCAAAGTTTAAGATGCACAGCAAAAGCTAGATAAAAGAGGGGGATTTCTGAAAAAATGTAACTGCTACAGATATTTCTATTTAAGAAATAGAAATATTGTCTTCTCTTCTACAAGGAGATGGGCCCACAGAAATTACTGAAGCTCAGCAAAGTTTTTAATCACACGTGAGCAGGACAGCGTATTCTCATGATATTCATAGCAGACACCTAAACATTTTGTTGAGAGCAGCCCTGGGGCGGGGGGTGGGTTGGAGGAAGAAGGGAGTGGGGCTTTGAGAAATTAAGTGCTAAAGAGTTTCAGCTGGTGTGGTCTCTCTCCCCCCAGTTTGCCCGTCCAGTCGCTCCCGCCCCTGGAGTGGCCACTCTCCAGCCAGTCTGGCTCCTACGAGCTGCGGATCGAGGTGCAGCCGAAGCCCCACCACCGGGCGCACTACGAGACGGAGGGAAGCCGAGGGGCCGTCAAGGCGCCGACCGGAGGCCACCCCGTTGTCCAGGTAAGGGATGGAGAACAACTCTGTAGAGGAAAAGTCAGGGGTGAGTTCATTTTTGGAAGTCCTCCTGGGAGCTGACCCTGGAAGAGGGGAGCACGTGGACATGGGCGTGCTTGTAGATGTGCTTAAAGTGGCGTTCAAAAGACGGGTTGACATGGTCCTCAGGAGTATGGTTTAGTGATTTTTTTATTGCTTATTTCTTATTTATTTTTTTGTCAGAGTTAGGTTGATGGTTGGACTAGATGATCCTTCCAACCTAGACGATTCTATGATTCTACCTGAGGTTGAAGTTGTGGTGAAGTCCTAGATGTCTGGAAAGTCAGTTTGGATTAGCTTGTGAAAGGTCAAAAACTTAGGCAAATATTTGCCACCTTTTCTGGGCTATATGTTAAAGCTCCTGTGACCCAACTCTGTCAAACGATGCCCAGCTGTTCTGAGTTCCAGCTGAGCCCGTTTTATCTTGAGAACAGACTCTTCTCTGTAAACAAGGGCTTTTTGTGAGGCTCAAAATGTGCTAACATCAGGCCTGGCTTTGAAACTCAGCGTAGCTCAGTCACCTACCAAACTGAGATTGGGAATACCTCGCAGACCACGTTAGATCTGCAGTACCACGTCTCCTGCCAGCGGTGAGCGAGGGGTTTGGAGCTGTGTCCCCCCAGGTTCCCTCAGAGCAAGCCCATGTGGCAGAGCTGCTCCCTGTGTTTCTGGCTGTGTCTAAGCTCCATACGGCCAAACTGCACAGGACTCCTACACATTCCCTTGAGATTTAAAGAAAAGCAAAGTGACCTTCATTAACCTCAGTGGAAGTTGGATTAGGAAGGTATGGATCTTAAACTGGAGTTTCCCCGGAGTTAACAGCTGCCTTTTGCTAGAAATGTCTTTCATGCATTTAGTTTTCTCCTTAGAGTTTTACTCTTTTTGGTTTTTTTTTTTTTTTTTTTTTTTTTTTTTTTTTTTTCCTATCCTTTGGTTACGTGGTAGAACTTCTAATTTTAAGCCCATTTAAGTTTAGGTCAGAGAATTTCACCCGCCTGTAATTCAAGCGGTCAGTACATCCATTTCAATCTAGTGCCTGGTTTATATGTAACTTGCTGACGCCGTGTCCCACCTCGCCTGCAGCTCTGCTTCTCAGCTGTGGTGATGCTGCCCTCCTTTTGTCCTGGGAGTACGTCACCATGGGGAAACCTGTAGGAGCTGTGTGATATGGAGACAGCAGGGCAAGATCATCACGTAGTAGGGGGGATGACCTCAAGAAAAAGTTTGGCCTCTGTAAAGCTGTAAATATAGAGAGGACAAGTTTATCCTCTTTGTAACACTATAGAGAAAGGGTGAATGAGTTTAGGCAGGAGCTCCCTCGTGGTCTGGGCTGATGTCACTACAGAAACATAACTGTGTGTCTCTTTTGAGATATCATTTATATTGCCCTAAAGAGTCTGGTTCTGGTCGTAGCTATACTTGGCAGTAGGGACATCAGTCTGCTGAAACCAGTGAGCAGAACCCAGGCTGGCAATCCAGGAACAAAATATGGCCCACCTGAGCCAACCCATTGTTCTGTTGTGGAGGGTGAGGGGCTTTTCCTCCACTTCTCAAAGGGTAATGTGAAATAACAGCCAAGTATCTGCACTGGAGCTGTTTGGGGCCACATCAGTCTTCTCGCTCCTTTTCTCCCTATTTCAGGCAGGGGTTTGGTCGGGGTTGTGAGGTGTCAGTGGCAACGAGGCACAGCAACTGCCCACATCAGCTCCAGCTTTCACTAGGTGAAGTTGGGGTGCATCCTGCAGGTGTTCCTCTTGCACTCTGGACTCACTAAGACAAGCATGAACCAGGAAAACGTTGAAGTTTATGCTTAATTATAGGCATGTGATCAATACCGCTAATTTCACTGGGTTGGCTTGTGCTTAACTTCAAACATATGTTGGATATTGCCCTGCAGGCTCAGCCCCTTTTAAAATCAAGCCATAAATTATTGAATCAATGAATTTGTTTACTCCGGTTGAGCTGGACTTACATGTATGGACTGGATATTTGAGTAAAGAGTGCAGGATAATAATAAATAGCAATCCCATTTGACATACCTTAATAATACATGTAATCTTTTTAGTTTATGAATCTGACAGACTCCTGGCCCACTGTGGTGTGTTTGAAGCTACATGAGTGTATGAACTGTATGGCCAATCAGCACTTGCTCATTTCTCAGTTTGCTTACAAATATAGTATCATTTACCTTCCCAAGATATCCCTATCAACCGGATGTTTATTGCAATGAAGGAGTTTCTCATGACATGGGGAAATATAAGTGCTTTGATTCCTTCCTGTAATCAATATCAATCAAGGAGGGATTTATATTTTCTGTTGGAGACAGAAACTGATATTCCTAGTTTTATCATAATTTGCCATCAAGCTTAAAGATCTTAAACTATAAATTCAATGATCCACATTAGTTTCCCAAGCAGATGTGCCTCTGCACAGCTGTGCCTGCATATGGGGAAAATATGGACAGTTTCTTTATGGAGGTTTATTATAAACCTGGAAGTGTTCGTTGGATTTGTGTTCACTTTAACATAACAAGGTTCACATGGGTACAGAGCAGTGAGATAGTTGCACCTGTATGGTTTATGACATCTGAAACTTGGGAAGGCTAGTAAAATCCAAAGCTTTCATGTCATAAATTATTTGGCTTCAAGGTTGGGTTTTTTATTCTTTTTTTCCCCTCAGTGAATTTTAACTTTTGTGCTCTTGTCAGATGCAAACAGGACAGAAACAGAGAAAAGGAAACGGGAGATTTTTAAAAGATAGATGCTGTTTTGAGGAAAGTTTGCATGAGTTAAAGGCAACTGGTTGTAAGGAAATGAAATTAAATTAGTTTTCAACAGGCGCTATCGTGATTGGCCCCAGAGCAGGAATGGCAGTGTTGATCCAGGAGTGATGGGGCTGGGGTTCTCCTGCAGGCTGGGGCCTGGTGCTGAGGACCCACAGCACTTTTCAGATGACAGACTGGAACACACCACCCTTGGGAATTTTCTGGAGCATTAGGACCTCTCCATAGCAACTTTTTTTGAATCCAGTGCTGTCTCTCAAACGCTTGGACTTAAATACCGAGAAGCCTAGTGTGCCCTGAGTGGGAGTGGCCCACCAGAGCGGTGGGGTTTGTACTGAGGATGAATGTCCCATTCATGTCCCACGCATTTTACAACCACTTTCAATGGACTGCTATTCCACTTTTCTAAAATATAATGGGGTTTTAATTTTTTATTCTGAATTTTCTGATTTCCAATTAAATTAACCCTCCACACCACTAATTATCAGCAGAGCCTTCTGGAGGAAGAGATGTTGGCTAGTTTTTGCAGCATGATGTTGGCCTGCAATATTTATTTTTTGAAAACTGCCTTTTGCAGGCAAGTTTCTTCTTTTGGGTGCTCTGAAGCTACAGACCAGCAGATCTCATATCCTCCAGGCCTTATCTTGTGGTTTATCTTTCTGATGCTGCTTCCTCTTCTTCACGTGTCTAGCCCCGAGAGTTTGTGCACAAGGCTCTGCACCAGTTGTGCAATCCAAGTACAGCAGGAAAAGAGTCTGGTTAATCAAAACCTCTGGCTGGAAGGGCCATGCTGAAGAATTTACTTTGTTTGCCTGGGGGAGGAGGAGACAAGCCATGCATCTCATGTAATGTTCACACCATCTAACTTCGGAGACCTTCTAGAGTCACATGGAGAAGTGCAGGCTCCCGGTTTAGATGTTCTGAGTCACTCTTGGGAGGAAACCTCAGCTTGCTACTAACTATAGAGAAACTTCTATTTTAGGGATTTAAGTTGAATGCCAGTGTGAGTATCTCCTAGATGTTAAGTCGCTGAGAACAGCAGGGAACTCCTGCGTAGCAAGGACAAAGCTGAAGTTTGCATGTGCCCACCATCTTGCAGGTCCATCTGGCCACTGAGACCACAGAGGAGGGGTAGGCATGAGTATTTTCCTCCTTTCCCACTCTTTTTCACTGATGTTAAGCAGGGACAGCTGCTTATTTGTACCCAACTGCTCCAGTCAATGTTTTGGAAGAGGCTATCCACTAGGAAAGGCAGTGGCTGCTCCCGTGCAAAGAAGTTTTGGATGTGACTGGGATAGAGGTGACAATCCAAACACACACCTGGCTCTGTCCCAGTTCACCCTGCAGCAGCACACCCTGCCCACAGGGGTAAAAAATCACCTTTTTTGCATGCTGTTAGCCAAACATCTGCTGAGAAGGATGTGGATACATTTGAATTCTGCTTTGGGGTTGGAAAGGTGAACTAGATGACTCCTTGAGATTCTCCTGGCATTATTTTAAATAAATCCCTCTAGGAACTCCCACCTCTTAGAGGAAATTAAATTTTTTGGTTTGTTGGTTTTGCTTGCTGTTCTGTTGTCAAGGGGAAACAGGGCATGTGGTAGCACTTGAGTAACACTGGATGCTGGCATAGGTGGCTTTCTTCTTCCACAGGAAAATGTGGTGATAAGAACCTCTCTGCTTCAAGGTGAGACATTTGCAGTTCTTCAGCAAAGGTTCTCCTGTTTTTGAACCATTTAAGGCAGTGATGAGAAGGAAAGGCCTTTTCAGTAGCAAAGTCTGGGTCTGGATGAGCTTCGTCCCATGGTTAAGCAGAGTCTGTGATCCCTTAAAAGCCATAAAAATATTATTTTGAAGATATTAATTAAACTTAGTGGTTCTGGTTTTGTCCTACTGCTTGGTATGAAAGCCAATTTTTTTTTTCAAGATGGAACTGGTGTTTTACACAGTTATGTGATATTTCAGGGAGTTCTAAGCAGAACCCTTGTCCTTTCCTCAAGGGAAATAGAAGGGAAAGGAAAATGTTTTAGGGGAGATGAGCAGTTGATTTATGTAAATGATTGTCCACATGCTCTGGATACCTGGTCTGTACTTGTTTCATTAGAAGTGGTTGCATTTACACGTGTTGCAGCCCATGGGTAAAAGTGAGACAAGGCCATTTCACATCATAATCTTCCCACATTCT